TGATCTCGACATTCGATTACGAAATGTGGGTTTTCTTTTGCCCACCACCTGCAGTTTTGCGAGCTCACAACGCCATTTGAAGAGAAGGTCGCTTCATCTGTCCATAAAATTTGATAAGGAAAATGATAATTTTCTTCTTTTTCCCCTTGAAACCAAAAAGAAAAATACAAGCGCATATCGAAGTCCCTTTCTTTTAATGTATTGATAAATTTCGGTTTATAAGGCGTAAATTTATTTTTGTGTAAAATACGTCGTACACTCTCTCGGTTAACATCTGTTCTATCAGCAATATCTTGAATACTTGTTTTTTCATGTTCTACGACATCCAAACATATTTCAAATTCCACTTCTTCAGTATGTCTAGAAGGCTGATGTGCTTTTCTAAAAGTACTCTCAACCGAGCCAGTAGTTTTAAACAGGCCTCTCACCAATCAACTACCATCTTTTCGAATAATTTCATAACTTTCTCACCGGTAAGACCATCGCCAATAAGGACCAGGCCAAAACGGCCATCGTCGACTTCATTGAATCTTGAGCACATAATTTTCATGCTTACGACATCAATCAACTTGTATCACGTTGGCAAAAGTGCACGGATTCAAAAGATGCCAATTGTAAATCGATTGAATAGGTTTTCACTGAGATATCACAGTTGAAATTAGACTCACAAAAATGGACAAAACTCCCAAAACATCCCAATATATGGAAATTGAATGATACAAACTAATATATTATATCGGGCCTTCATGATGTTGAATTCAGTTACAATGAATTCGTCTGATGCAGCTGTTGCATAGCGAAACACGTGAAGCGGTTTGGTGAATTGTTCAGTGAAAATCTGACAAAGGAGTGTTACTCAAATGAGTTACGGATTTTCATCAAATATCGGCCAATTTCATCAAATGATTCATTCACATTTTTTTATCCCGTCTTCTAAATATTTCTTCATCTCTCAACAGAATGAGGAATAGAGTAGAGTACGGGAGGCAATGGAGATCCACAAACACACGGATAATTTTAACAGAAAAGAAGAAGCGGTGAACCTTAATCAAATATGGAACCCCATTTTAAGGAATTCAGACAATATGTTTTACACTTTTTTGAAATATGCTCATCATGGAGCACCTGACAATGCGAAATAATATAGGTTGATCTATTTAAAAAAATTGGTGATATGCTGTGGGGGTGCGAAAGGGAAAGTGATATCAAATGTGAATATGTCAAAATATGTCCCCTGTATACTGGTATTGACGTGTTTTTTTATTTTTCCTGAAAATCATTGTACCAAAACGTATTCAGGGTAGCTCGTTTCAAATGGAATGCACAGTATATGTTTATTCTGAAATCCATTACAAACATTTGCTTTCACGTTGAGAATTTTACTTGCTAGAAGTTTTTATCTCAAAAAACAATTTCCAATTTCAATTAGAGCAAAAATTCAATTAGATGTGCGTGGGAAGTTTTCGATCAAAAACACTGAAAACATTTTAATTGAGTATGCTCTGTTGGCTGTTAGTGAAAACAGTGGAACGTTGACAGTTAAGTAAAATAAACAGGAAATGTTCAGTTATGCTCAAAACGTAAGATTGCGTTACTTACCCACCTTTTTTATTGGCGTGAAAACTGTCATTCATTGAAACGTACTGAATGTCATAAGCTAAAACAGTGTGTGGTAGCAACGTTTTATCTTTGTTGATTTCATCAATTGCAAATTTGAATGCTAACTCACTGGAGCTATTTCGTTGATCTTCCGTGAAAATTGCACCTGAAATGTTATCACAAAATTTATCACAGTTTGTTACAATTTAGGTTACTCACTAACCTATTTTCACAACAGGAGGCAGGGATGGAACTTTCATGAGTAGTCCAAGTAGAAAAACAATTTTCATCATCAACTCCATTATTTCATTACCAAATTACTACTCTCTTCGACCAATTACGTTCATCTGCAAAAATAATATTTCTTTCAATGAATTTTTCAGTTTATTTTTTTTTCTCTCAGATAGAATTCACCAAGTTGTAGTTTCAGTTTCATCTAGAAAACTAATTCAAATAGGACGATGCAACAATGTATTGTAGGACACATGAGAAATTTACGAAATTTCTCATGTGTCCTTTTGTAGGACTTGTTGATGGTTTTAATGAAAGCAATTTGTGAAATTTCCCAACGATGTTTTGTAATATTCGTTAAAGACTACACATTTCACTTAATTGTCATCTAGTTTTGATGGAAAAGTGTCATCAATCTATTCAAACAGTATATCACAAGTATATCTTATTCTCGATGAAAGTTTCGATATTGACAATTATGAAAAGCAACTAGTTGGGTTTAAGAATATTGCTCCTTTTCCGAAGTTGAGAATAAAGTTGTACAAATGTCACGATCTAATTGGAAAATGATTTTTTTTCGATAAATTCAACCCAATAGGCGTTTGAAAATAGAAAAAAAAGTTGGTTCGTAATGTTCACTCCCAGAAATCGCGAGATGATAACTGACCAGTTCTACCAAGTTTATAAATATTATATTATCCAATACACTTAAGAATCATTGATGAGCTTCAATGCGAAGCAAGAAGTTTACAGTCTCCATTCTCGAAAGTACTAGGCCCGCCCGCTGCCTCATATAAAAGCGCGCGCGCCATCCAACCGGTAATGTTATTCGACGATATTACGAAAACAAGTGAATTTAGTTAGCGACTAGCTGGGTAAAGTGCTGTACGTGCGGTGATGAATACTGTGTAGCTATTTATCTATCTATTCAAAACTCAGGAATATCTCCACAGGATAATGATGATGTTGAAAGGACTGGGAAAAAACCGGTCATTGGTCAGCTGAACAAATATCGAATTCAAAAAACCAATACAGTATGTTGAAGAATCATTTCTATGGTATTATAACACCATCATAGCAGAAGAACTAATATTTTTGAAGAATCAATAGTTCAAGTTAGAATAGTTAGGGTTTCTAACTTTGTTATTTTGATAATCTCATAATGAAGCTCATCCACAAACCTTCCAGTATCAATACCCCCTTCTCCAACTGAGGCTGATCTGTGTCGTGTAAAACAACTTGATTATTAAAAGAGGTAACTGCACTATTTTTCCAAATATGTTTTTCTTGTGGATGTTATAACATTTTTACTAATGTTAGAAAAAATTTTTCGTCATAGCCCAATAACTGGCAGAGTTTGAACGAAAAAAATGCATTGAACAAGTACAAAAGAAAACGACTTCAAGAACCCTAAATTGATTTTTCTTAGATTTAATGTTTTGTTATTCACCCCCTTCATTTACTCGACTCACTCATTTCCTCAAAAACTGAGGCACACCTTTTACATTTTTACGTTTGATATTGAACACATTTTGTTCAGGAAAATATAAATAATACTGTAATTATTTCATGAAACGTCGTAGGTGTCGATGAAACCATTGAAGATAATTAAGTAGATTAGTAATTCAATGAACTATCCATGTATTGAATCACACGATGAATCATAAGAAGTAGATAATCCAATTTGTTCACTGCCATTGCATTAGCCTACATCAATAATGTATACAGGATGTTCATTGAACATACTGCAAAAAATTAAGGGACTATTTGGACTATTCTAAGAATATTTTGTCTTTTGATGATTTCTGACAGAGCGCTTTGTTTTGAAGATACGGGGCTGAAAAAATTTCAACAGTAACAATTTTGGTAATTTGAAATTATCAACGTAGCCGAAATGAAAGTATAGTGTAGTACACTGGACCTACCAAGTTATATAAAAATCTAAAAATTCCGTTGGTATCTCTCAACAACATTCCGATTACTACAAACGGCTGCAGACATTCAATTTGCTGGGTATAAGAGGTGTATGAGGTGTGAAGAGGACCGACACTGAAAATATCTGTATACCGTAAACCCACTTACATGGGCTAATATCTGAACCACGAATCCATCCACCATCAATCGACTGAAAAAGGAAACATCAAGACTCTATCAGACCGTGCTTTTGGGCTCTGCAATACGAAGAAAGGTCTCGAGAAGGAACTAGACATCATCAAAAATGATCTTCAGCGCAATGGCTACTCCAAAGCGATGGTGAAACAGACTTTGACTAAAAGACAGCAAGAAAGGAAAGCCTACACAACCATTGCTTGCACTTACCTACATCAGAGGATCATCGGAAAGTATAAGAAGAATTGGGTCCAAGTAGAACATCCGGAAACATTATCCGTAGCAGCCTCATAAAAACCAGGCCACCAGTCGCGGACTGCGATTTCAAGAATTGCATTCACCGGATACCCTGCGAGTACGGAAAATCCTATTTCGGTGAAAGTTCGCATTGTTGAGTACAAGAAACACACACAGCGAGGAAAAACCAGCAAATCCGGAGTAGCAGAGCATGTGTGGGCCCATCAACAAAACATCGAGTGATCCTAAGCTGATATAATACACAGGGAGAAACATTGGTTTCGCAGGAAATTCAAAAAAGCCGCATACATGTTGCCCAACAACGTATTCAGCCAAGCCAGCGTAAAGATACCAACATATGGAAACCCATAATCAAGCGCAAAATGGCCAACTCCCGCCAAATCATCATCTCTCGCTTATCAGAAGGGCTTCACGAAGTTTAAAATTCATAAGCCAATTATATATACCTTCTATCCCATTATTTATGCTAACGAAGATTGGGAAAAAATGTGTCAATCAACAATTGAATAACTTTTTGAAAAATGGTAATAAAACTTTTTTTTCTACCGGACTCAATTCATTCAAGTATTGAAAAGACAATAGATTTTTTTTTGAATCACATTTTATGTTATGAAAAAATTATTTCTTTTGATGAACTCTCTTTAGCGGCAGCGCGCGCATGTCGTAACAGCCGCGCGGAACCCTATTTTCAATGTCAATTTAAAATTATAGATAATTGAGATGAAGTTTCGGGAGTTAGGACTTTTTAATCTGAAACTTCCTCCTCTTCAACGAGCTCTTTTCAAAATTGCTTGAATAATAATATTTTTTCAGTTATTAACGAAAAACTAAATAAAATTTTTTTCTAGAGGTGATTCCAAATCGAATGAGCTATCGATCATATTTATTAGGACCTTTATCTCTATTTTTCATGTTTTTGAACTTATTGATGAGACTGTAGAAAATCCGCTAATAAGGACCATACAAAAACGGCCTTCGTCGACTTTATCAAATTCGGAGCACACTATTTTCATGCTGATGGAATTATTCTATTTGTGTTACATTGACAGAAGTGCCCTGATTCGAATAACGTATATTTCGATTTTGAATGATTTTAAATGAGTATTTACCGAGATATCACAGTTTAAAGTAGACTCATAATGGACAAATAACCTAATACGATTTCTAATTTTTGTTTTTCAGAGTATCTATAGGTATTCGAGTACTTCATGTGTAACTTATTATGTTCTTACCTACATATTGAAACATATTATTTTTTGGAGCGATTACTCAATAACTTCTTTACTATGTATTTGAGTTCAATGAAAATTTTCATGAAATAGAAGCTTATTTACACTTTTTCGGCGGAAAAATTCAACATTTCGTTAATTACAATGTTAGTTGTGGAAACATAATATCTATGACTGAATCTAATGATGAACTATTATGAAGACCAATATTCAGTTGTGATATCACACAGAAATGAAACTTTGAGTGCAAATTTTGTAAAATGAAAAGAAGCAGTTCTGATAGATCCAAAATAAAACTCATTTGAACTTCTGCAATGAAACTAGCAATTTTCCACATTTTTCATTGGAAATAATCTAGCTTATCAGTAAAAATTCAATTGCTGAGTTAACATTCACAAAAGCCTTTCAAATTTTCATAATTTTCATATTCTCAAACAACATTTGTTGTGCATTAACCAGAAAGTAACGAAAATATAATGTGAAAATTGAAAAAATGAAATCAAGATGTCTGCAACGTTTGAAAATATGAATTGTCTTTGCTTTAGCTGAAAATTGTTTTATATAAACATATATTGTAAAATAATAGATAAGGCAAAATTGTAAAATTAATTTAGGTTGGTATACCTGTATGATTGGTACGCCTGGATGGTTTACCTGTATGGGTTACCTTCATAGCATGAATCGGATTAGCTCGCACTAGTTCTTAGTTTTAATCTTCCTCTTTGAAGATGATCACTTGGTGATCGAAACACTTACAGTTTTAATCATCCTCTTCGAAGATGATCAGTTGGTGATCGAAACACGTGTTGAAAATAACGATTTGGTGTTGGGAATGAAGTCCAGTAATATTCATGTAGAAATCATAGTAAATCAGCCACGTATTCGCTCAAATATTCCTGGAGTCTCTCTGATTACCCTGCACGCATCGATGATGCGGTTTCTTAAGTTCTCTACATCGCGAACAAGAATACCAAAAAATCACATATCCCTTCTGACACCCGAAGGAACTTCCTCCAGCAGTACTGGATGCATCTCTCTCAAAAATTGAATGTATACACCACCATTTAATCGAGGAGGTAGAAAATGAGGCCCAATTAGATCATCCCCAATGACTCCGAGCCACACGTTGAGAGAAAACTGTTCTTGATGGTTAGTTTCGACAATAGCGTGAGGATTTTCATCAGCCCATATGTGGTAATTAAGAAAATGAATAATCTTGTCCCAAGAAAAACTACATTCGTCTGTGCATTATATCGTTTTCAGAAAGTCACAATTTCTTCTAATCATTTCCAGCACCCAATTGCA